CTATGGCCAATCTTCTCGCCACCCTTATTCTAGAGCTTTGCATCACTGAGCTCCACGCCATCTAAGCATAATGCACTCATCTCGCTCCTGTGTTTAAAATAAAAATTAACAAGCTTTTCTTGTCCTTTGTGGCCTACTGTCTACGAGAAAGTCTCTTTCCTTCCCCCCATAGCCAGGTTTCTTCATTGTATAGGCCATATTCCGTTCTCAGCCCTTCTCAGTGTTCACTCCTCAGCCCTCCATAACCCGCCTTCTCTCCTCCTGTTGCATGATGCCGTCACTGGCGTCCTAATTGCCAAATCTAATGAACGTGTTTTTTAAATGCTTTATGGTGTGTTTTATCTGATTACATGAGGGGTACACACCATGAATAAAGTTATGACATATGACAGACCAGAGGAAAAAAAGGCCTTGTGCTATAATACAGGCAATGGGTAACTACCCCTAATAAATATGCTGTTCTTAACAAGCAAATTAAGTCAATTAAGTCTATAACCCAACAGAAAAGCATACAAAGATAGTAAAGAGCAAGTCTCAGGAAAAATACAAATAGTGAACACATATGCAAAGGGACTCAGGTTCACTTTTATTCAGAAAAGGCAAGTTAAATCAGACACTACTTTTCACCTATTGGATTAGGAAAAATTAAAAAAGATTGTCAGCAAAAATTAAAAAGACCTCAACAAGAGCATATAGAAAAGCACTCTCAGTGGTGAGGGTGTAAATACCCTGGATGTAACTTTGGTGGTGCCAATTCACATTTTCCAATGTACATATCCTTTGACTCAACAATTCTATAGAGAGCTATCCCACTGAAATATTTGCATGTATTTATGCATGCATGTATGTATAGATACACACATATATGCACAATGTATGTATAAAGTCTCCATCCATGCACATTGCACAAAGATGTTTATTGTGGCCTTGTGGTGGCATGAACTGAGGTGACAGGCAGAGGAGACATGTGGCAGGATAGATGACACAGTTGGAAGATCAGGTTCACAGGGCTTGCTGATAAACTTGATGTCAGTGGGTGAGGGAAAGGAAAGAAAAAGGGTTCTCAGTTTGAGCTATTAAATGAATGGTGGTGCCATTTTACTGATGGGGGAGGCCAGGGAGGTGAGATGAATCAGGAGTCCTGATTTGGCCATGCTATGTTTGAGATGTCTATTTGACATCCAAGTAGAGAAGTGGGACAGGCCAGTGGGTGTATGAGGCTGCCACCAGGGACAGAAGTTTGAGCATGATGAGTGTACCGCTCGATAGACAGTGTTCAAAGCTACTGAGCTGGATGAGTGCTTATAGGAAGATTTTGTTGTACATTTTGTGTTTCAAAGATGTCAACATATATCCGATGGTGGAGAATCAGATATTTACCACTGTATCAAAGGTCAAGCTCCTTTCAAACCTCTCTCTTAAGGAGTTCTAGCATTTTTTTCTCTGCATATTTTTAAACACATTTAAACAAAACAGTACCCTTTTTTTCCATGTTACATAGTGATTTCTTCATAGTGCATAATCCTCCTATCATAAAAGTAGTCGGGCACTATCTAAGTAGCACTCAACAATGGCTTTCCCATAAAATTCATACCCTAATTAGCCATCTCTTGCTTAAAAGGTTATGGGTAACTCGAGGCCAGAAGCTTAATTTGTGGCATCTTTCATTTTGGGGGGCTGTTCACTTTCCTATTCCATAGCAACCTTCTTCATTTTCTTACAGAGCTCAGTGAATGACTGAAAGGTCTCAAGACATCTGACAAGTCACACTCCTCCTCCTGTCAGCGCAGCACTGCTCTGTGCCTCCTGGAAGTATAGCATCTTTGCATTTCCACTTTCAACTTTACAGGTTTCCATCCAGAGACTCATGCCTTAAATAAAGACAGAAGAAGCACTTTGAACTAGGTCAAAGTTGTCATCAGGAATGTCTTGAGATGCAAGACAAAACTCAGAAGAAGGAAATGTGTTAGAGAATTGGGCTTAGGGCAGCCTTATGGTTTGTAGGGCAACAGACTGGGTACGTGTAGTTCTGGGTACAGGTAAGCATGAAAAGAGTGCCAATTCCTAGAAGAGTAATATCATTGCTTAATTCATGTAAAAAATATTAGGAGGCACTCATGATGGGCCTGGCTCTACTATGGATGCTGGCGCCCACTGGTAAATAAAACAGAAATATTTGTGCCTGTGGAACTAACATAGAGGGGGACGAGGGACAGACAATGAGAAAGAAATAAGAATAAACAATATGTTACTCCTTGCTAGAGCAAGGAGGAAGAGAAGGAACACACCTAAAGGTTCAGAGAAGGGGTTGCAGATTTCAATAGGGTCATTAGGGAAGGCCTCACTGATAAGGTGATGTTCAAGTACAAAGGCCTAGGTGTCAAATTTCAAGAGCCTCAGGAAGATGTCTTCCCTACGTTAATCCCACCATCACCAGACCTCAGGTCTTTGAAGGCACGGTTTCCACAGTTCCTAGCACAAACATTTGTTAAATCTCTCATAGTAAAGACAAAGGAAGTCCCACATCCAGAGCTCACCCTTAAAAAAGTGACAGCTTTCCAGGTGGAAAAAACAACTAGGGGAGGTGTTAAGGGCTTTCCTGAGGTGTAAAGGTGCTTTAGGACCCAGGACAACTGGTAATTCTGCTTGGGGAGGGAATCCTGAGTTGAGTAAGGGTGCCCCAAAGCAGCTGCTGACTTTAGAACTAAATCTTGAGAGGTGAATAGGAATTAAAAGCAGGGGAGTGGGTATGTGTAGCAAGTTAGCTTTTCAGGAAAAAACAACAAAAGGAACAGTTTGAACAAGGGCCCAGAGATGGAATCAGGGAGCACATCTTCTCCGGGACTGTCCCTGCCTATGGTACTCCATCCATCCCATGAGAAAGCAAGCACACACTGGCCTGTTTGTTGGGACACCCTTATCACTTACCAGGTCCTCATTTCTCCCCTCACCAGCAGGAAAGGAAGAAGTTAAGTCAGGAGCACATCTCTAGAAGGCAGGGTTACACTCTCACTACTGAGAGCCCTGGAGGTTTCGTTCAGTCTAATACACTTAGGGGAGCGTGCTTATAGTGACAAGGTGGCAACTGGCTCCATGTTGGAAGTGAAGTAGGAGAAACAAGGGGTCCAAAGTCTCTACAGTGTATCTGAGGTGGAGTCAAAGACGAAAACTTATGCCTCAGCTGGGAAGGAAGAATTTTAATAACTCAGTCCCTAATGTGTGGCTATTTAGTGTTCCTAGCATATAAGACAGCAGAGGTGGTGTGACAAGTGATGGGGACATACGTTCTCTAGTCAAATGGCCCAGCTCTGCCCCTCATCAGTTGGGTGGTTTGGGGCAAAGCATCTCAGCTCTCCATCTCCTTTTCATCACAACATGGTTATAACTTAAGTGACTACCGCTTAGTAAAGGGAGGATTATGAGATAATTATGCAAAGAACTTATCACTGGGCCTGGTTCAATGGATTCTAACAACCATCATTAGTAGTTGCCTTTCTAGGGAAAATCTCAAAGTGTATCAACCAGAATGCTACATGCAGTTATGGACCAGCAGTCCCAGAACAGGCCTCCAAGCTCCATTTTACTGCTCTGACCTAAAGTGAGGCCCCTGAAATTGTGTTAGCTGAAATGGTCATCCCCTGCCAGAAAAAGTCTCATAAGACAAGTTGGTGATCTTTTTCTACTAGGATTTACAGCAGGTGCTAAATACACAACCAAAAAAAAAAAACAAAAACCCAAAAGCAAGTACAACTACAACCAAAAAAAAAAAAAAAAAAAACCAACAAAAAACAAAAAACACAAAACCTTCCTCAGGGCCTTAACTCTTTGCATGAAACATTGTTCTCTCTGCAAACCAGCAGGGTAAACACATTAGGTCATTAACACCTTCATATTAATGAATTTATGAAGGGTGGGAAGCTGAAAAGAGCAGAAAGGAAGCCAGTTAAAATAGGTCATGAAGATACTGAAGACTAATTTTTGTCACAAAAGTACAAGGTCTAGGGTCAATCCTGCCCACAGCAGTATTCTGCATAGCTTTTCTGGTCCTGAAGAAGCAGGGAACTGAGGGGGGTGGAAATTAGTTCATGAGAAATAGATCATTTGTTCAAGCCACCAGGATTCTAACCAAAAGACTTCGCCACCAAAACCCCAATCATCTCATTCAACGTTAAGGTCTGCAAAACACTGCTCAGCCCCCTTCCAAAGGTTCACAGAGGACTGGGGCGTTCGGTGTCCCTTCTGAGGGCTCTGGAGACCCTCTCCAGGAGCAAATGCCCACAGCCTGCTTGAAGGGTGGCAAGATAAATCCGTTCAGCTCCAGGGCACACAGCCGGGTCCCCTACCCCAAGCGCAAGGGGAGCCCACTGAGGCAGGACTCCGGCCGTCGGGCCTCCAGCCGTTACCTGCGGTGGACCAGCCGAGCTCAGAGAAGCCGACGCCGCGAGGTGCGAGGTAGCGCGGCAGTGCCCGGCGGAGACCCCGCGCGAGAGCGAGCGCTGGGAGAGGAACCGAGGGCAAAGTGACCAGACGCCTCCGAGGGCGCGGGCGAGGGCGCAGTTCCCGCTAGCAGCTCCCCGCCACCCCGCCCCCAGGGCCCGCGCTCGGGAGTGGCCCAATTCCAGCAGGCAGGCGGGAAGAGCCGGGCCACCCGGCACGAGGGCACCCGGGGGAGGCAGAGCCCAGAGAGGGCACTGCCGCCAGCCGGAGCGACGGCTGGACCGGGAAAGAGGCTCGAAGTGGCCCGGGGCAAAGCACGCTGGCGGGGAGGGGCCGCCCGGGGAGACAGAAGTCCGAACTTGGGGGGTGCGCTCCAGAAAGGTGGCAGGACAGACGGACAGACCGTCAGCTAGGGGGAAGGAAAGACTGGGGGTAGGGGGTGGGAGGGCAGGGCACAGGTCCCTGAGTTGGGGGTGAGGGCACTTAGGCGGCAAAAACGCTCTGGGGGTCCGGGAAGAGCCCGGGACAGAGGGCGAAGGGGCGGCCCCTGCTCGCGGTCCTACCTGTCACCTGCAACAGGTGCCGCGAGAGGGCGAGACGTCCCAGTGCCGGATCGAGGGGAGGGTCTCAGACTCCGGGAAGACCGTCACCCGGCTCGGCTCCGGCTGCCGGCCCTTCTCACCCTCCCGGGAGGCGGAAAAAGCTGCAACTTTCCCTAAGTGGGGGAGGAGCTGGACTCTTAAAGGGGACGCACAGAGCTCCGGTGTCTGTAGGGGGCGGGGGGGCGGGGAAGTACCCGAAGTGGAGCTCTGGGAATCAATGCCTCAATTTGCTAGAGGGATGCCTTCCCAGGTTCGGTAAGGGAGCTTGAAGGCTGAGGATAGAGGTCTAAAACTAGACATGCCCCCCTCCCCCTTTTACTTCCCTTTGTGGTCACTTTCTCAGATGATAAATCACCTGTCTTTTACTCTCAGCGGAGCCAAAAGTTGTCACACTGTCCTGTACTTCTAAGAAAAGGAACACTCTAGACCATATAATTTTTTTTTTTTTTTGTATCCAAAACTTGTTTATTAGGATGGTTTCTCATTCATCTTGATTCAGGGTGCTTTTAGTGCTGCAAGACCATATAATTTGGGAAGATAAAATATGATACTATTCTAATCCTTTGCCTTTTGGCCTTTTATGGCAAATAAAACCGTCTGTCTAAAATAGGAACATTTTGAGCAAAGAATATAGACTAAATTTACACACACGTGAAGATACAACTGGTTGAAACTAATCAAAGGAGAGCAAATTAGAAAAATAATGAGATTCTTACATCTGAAGAGGTATGAACCTTTACTCCTAAATCATACAGGGTGGTGTAAACCAGTTACCTCCATAAAAAATATATAGAATTATAAAAACAGAAATGCCTTGTTGACAAAATGTTATTTGTAAGTTTTATTAAGTATTTAATACAAGTTATAACATAAAAATAAATAAAATTCCACCATACGAAAAAAATGAGATTATTTTAAACCTTTGGCAGAGGTTTCTGTTTGTCTTTATAATACATAACACAGTCTTTATAATACATAACACATGACACAGTGGCCATCAATCAAGCTCTGTCATAATTGCTAGTAGGTGTGTATGTTGGTTAAAAGTACTGTGAGAAAGCATGTGAGTAATATATATCAATAGACTAGAAAATGTTTCTATCTGCTCGGTGATTGTATATTTCTCTCTCCATTTCCCTCTTTCCTTCCCATCAGCCCTCATGCATGCTCAAGTTCCTCTCATCAGTCATCAGCAACAGAAAAAGCTCAAGTCTCTGCCATTTAAAAAAATCCTCCTTACACACTAGGTGTCTCTCCACCTCCCTTTTATGAACAATTAATTGAAAATATGCTTTACAGCTACATTTGCAATCTCCATTCCCTTACTTCTCAGCAAATCCGTTTCCTTCCCCAACACTCCCTGAAACTGTGCTCAACAAGATACTCAACTAATGAGCTCTTTGTCAATAAACATGCATTTTTTCAGTTTTTATCTTGCTTGACCTCTCCCCTATGTTAAGCTGTTAACCATTTCCTCCTCCTTGAAACACTTCCTGTGACATCTATGACACCACACTCTTTTGCTTTTTATCCTGTTCCTTTGCTCTCTCCTTAGTCTCCTTTGTAGATTCCACTTCTATTTAACCACTGAAAGTCAGACATTCTCAAGTTTCCACTACATATACTCCTTCCCTAAATAATCTCTTTACTCACTGGTTTTAATAGCCATCTCCCTGGCCACTGCTGTAATTCTACAGCTCTATCCAGATTTCTTCACTGACTTCTGCTTTCTTGACGTCTCTACTGGATGTCTCACAGGCCTTTCAAACTCAGCACATCCAGAACTGAGCCCATCGTCTTTATGCTTAGATGTGTTCCTCTTCCAATGTTTATCTCAGTAAATGACAATATGCCACACAAGGCAGAAACTTAGCATCTAGCATATTACTTGACACATAGTAGGTTCTCACTAGTGTCTCTATAATGAGTGAATGAATGTGTCCTAAGGAAACAGACATTACAAACTTTTTTATACAGTGATGTTAATACCATACAATAATGAAATATTAAAAATAAAATTCAATGGTTCGATGGTTAAGTATACTACAGTCATACACTGGGTATTTACATATAGTTTAATAATGACAGTAAAATGCTTATGCTCTAATAATAATTGAAAATGGGATGTATTTAATATAGAATATGATCATAACAATTGGTCAAAATAGGAGAATCTGCATAAAAAACAACCAGAAAGAAATATGCAAAATTAACAGGGGCTATATTCTAGGTGGTACAACTAAATGAATTTTTCACTTTCTTATCATGAGAATGTATGGCTTTGATAATATAAAAGATGTTTGAAAAATCTTTAAAAGGGGAAAAATATCCCTCTAATTCTGACAGATAAAATTGTAAAATTCAGCTTCAAAGCTCCTCCCAGTTTTCTTTCATACTTTTGCCATGCAATACCTACCCACAGCCTGCAGTGTGAAGAAGTCACTTCAAAAAAAGGAAATCTTTTTGTTCAACCTAGCTATACCCATTACGTCCTGAGGCCACTCTGCTAAGCCTAGGCTTTGAATATAACCTGGCATGTGGCAAGCACTTTGCCACTCCTTCTTTACAGGTGGTACTTTGGCAACAATTGACATAGTCTCAATCAGAAGTGACGTCAGAAAATATTTAATCCAATCCTGTTGCTCCTCAGCAAAAGTTCCAGGCATTATTTAAGGATTTTCCTTCTTTCTGCATTTAGTTGCTCTCTCTCCAAGGTCCATCTCTTAAAGAAGGTGTGAGGAGCTGACTCTAAGACAGTCTCCCTGAATCAGCTGCAAATCCATAGAGAGAGACAAACATAAACAATGAACCACAACAAAGTTATCCAAAGGCCTGTTTAGACAGATGCTTTGCAAACTGTTGTCCATTTCTGTTCGATGGTCCTTGTCACAAGGATTCTGAGCTCAAATGCTTATACCAAATGTTGTGAGGGGGCCAGTGCAAGCAACCCAGTCACTATCTTGTGCAACAATGTAAACAGGAATTTATGAATTATTATCCATAGCAAACGATTGCATTCAATGAGTTATTTACTATTTCCACATTGAGTAAGATGAAGATTTTCCTCAGGCCCAGGTAACAGATGCCAAAGTATTGAGCAATTACTACTTTTAAAAAGTATTAAATATTTCCAAAAAAACTCATATGGAGAATAACATAACAAGGATATGCCCACTAGCCTGCTTAAGAAATAAGACCATGCTAGGCCTCCCTAGTGGTGCAAGGAGTTAAGTACAGCACTATGAAGCTATCCACAGCCACTGCAGCACGAGTTTGATACCTGGCAGGCCAGGGAGCTGACCCACATGGTGTAGCAGATCTCTCCTGTCTTGCCCACTGCTCCCCTCAGCAGTGAAATACACTCAGCAGTGTATTTCCGTCAGTCTGCCTGTTCTGCTCCCCACTCTGTCTCTGGTGAATCCTCTCACCCCCCACATCTCTGGCCTATACCCCAGTTCTTGTGTGCATAAATAAATCTTAAAAAATAAAAGAAATAAAAAATAAGGCCTTGCTAATACAATAGATGCCCTCTGTATACCCCTCCATCCTAAAGTTTTTACTATCCCATATTTGATCTTAATCATTTCCATATATGACTCTCTTGCTAAACAATATATAGTACTTTACATAAGTAGTATCACCCCATATGTACCTACTGCAATTTACTTTCCTCACCCAACATTATGCTTGTGAGATGTGTCCTTCCTGATCTAGGTAGCTGTAAATGCATCCATTTTCACAGCCATAGAGAATTCCAGGCATGAATATATTGTATCTTTTCTCTTGTTGATCAGGTACTTTTCAACTGTCAAAGTCTTTTTCATTTCTTGTTTGATAATACTTTAATTTTGTAAACAAAAACCAAAAAACAAACAGCAGACTTTCTGATAAAACAAATTTAGTGGCAAAATGATCATAAGGTGTAGAAAGTAGAATCATTTCCTCATTCAGTAAACAACGAGGCTTCTCAGTCTCTGCACTATTGACAAGTTAGGCAGGAAAACAGAGGGTTATCCTGTGCATTGCAGGATGTTTAGCAACACCTCTGGCTCCTACACACTAGATGCCAGTAGCAACCGCTAAAAATATGTCCAAATATTGCCAAATGCCCCCCAGAACACTGGTCAAGACATACTGAGTTATATGTGAAGCACTTTAATAGGTGGTCTAGGAAGCAAGAAAATGAATAAACACTGAAAAAAAGTCCTTTCATTCAAAGTTTATTGTGCAGGGTGGGGAAAGGGGAGGCATGTACACCTGATAAATGCATAATTTAATACAGTGTGGAAAGTGCAAAAACGGGAGAGGCACAGGATATGTGGGATCATCTTGGAAAGCCACTCCCAGCCTAGTTGGGAGTGTGAGTCAATGAAGGGTTCCTGAAAAAAAAATAATTTCTCTGGATCTTAGGAGGGAAAGTGCACAAGAATTTGCCAGATCAAAAAGACACTCTAGCTAGAACAGCTTAAGCAACAACAAAAAACTTAGGTCAATGCAAAGGAAGTACAAGGAAGTTGGACTTGCTAGAGCATAAAGTGTAAGGGAAAGTGACCACAGATGAATCTAGAAAGATGATGTTTGTTGAGGCTGCTAAAACAAAATACCACAAACAGAATGACTTAAACACCAGAAATTCATTCTCACAGTTCTGGAGACCAGAAGTCTAAGATCAAGGTAACTGCAGGGTTAGTTCTTTGAAGGACTGTGAGGAAAAATCTGTTTCATGCCCTGTCCTGCTTTGGGTGGTTGTTGGGCATCATTGGCATTTATTGGTTTGTAGAAACTTCACCACAATCTCTGCCTACTGCTTATGTCTTCAAGTGACATTCTCCTTATGCACGTGTCTTATGTCCAAATTTCCCTTTTATAAAGTCACCGGTCATATTGCATTAGAGCCTGACCTAATGACCTCATCTTAATTTATTATATCTGCAATGATAGTATTTCCAAATTAGGACAATTTCTGAAGTACTGGGGGTTAGGAATTCAACAGATGAATTTGGCAGGAGAAGGGGGGGGGATGTAATTAAACCCATAACAGATGGGCAGGTTTTAGAACTGTAGAGGACTTGTGAGTCGTGTTACGGAT